GTCTAGGCCTGTCCTCCATCGGCCGTTTTATTTTCGATTTAGATACACAAACTGTATTATATACTAATTTCAAGTAATTCCACCTTCTTGTTCTCCGTCATACAAGCAAAACGGCCGATGGAGGACAGGCCTAGTCGAGTCCAAACCTTTACAACGATGACGGTGGATACTAAGGGATTGAAGGGCCCCGCCGCCCCCAGTGGACGCCGGGCCCCGAATCGCAAACCGGAGGTATGGTAAGAAGAACCACCCTTAATCATCGGGGTTTTGGCACACTGCTGTGCGGTCGCTTTTTTAAACGTTTCGAACTTCAGACTTTTTTCGCACAGGTGTGCGAAGACCCCGATATAGTCTATGTTAAATAGTCTAGTCTATAGTTTATATATTTTTTGTTTTTCTCCCATCATTGGACTCTGTCGTCTGCCCCTCTGGCCCCTATCCTCCACTTCTACTAGCTGGACGACCCGACCGGGGTCACACAGGAGGGAGGGGCTGGACCCCCTCCTGCGGTTCCTGCCTGAGGTATTTTTATCGCGAGAAGGGTACAGCATCCCTCGCGACTTACGATGTAGATTATGGTTTACGCCACACGTGGAAGAACTCGCTGTTTTTACATGATACTGCATCATATCTCGCTCTTCTTTTGTGCGCACACAACCATGGCCAACAGCAGTGTTGATCGCATTCACGTCAAAAGCGACTTGAATAAAAAGCTCAAAACGTCCCAACTCCATGCTGCGATCGAGGTGGGTCTCAACGAGATCCATCCGTCGTGCCTCCACTTGGACCACCCACACACCCCCGGAAAAACACGCCCCACTGAAACCCCGCCTTGGTTAGTTGGCCATTGAAGGCGTGCGCGCATCAGTTGGACCAGTACAGAGCGTAGCCCGTAACAGTTTTTAGTGCGAACTATAACAGCAACAACAACTCACAGCGGTCGGGAGAAGAGCGTTGCTGTAGCTGCTGCTGCTGCTGCTGCTGCTGCTCTTGAAGCCCCCCGAGGCTCTCCCTCACCCGCTTCGCCTTGTCCAGCTTCTGCGGGCTGGTCGTGATCCCTCCCCCCCCACCCCCGAGGTCGAGGGCAAGCTCGAGCACCTCCACCGCGTCCCGGTACTCGTCGTTCGGGTTCAAGACGAGAGCGAACTCGTACCTGACGTGGGAAACCGAAAAACATACAACGTCTCTCAATATGTATAAATATGGAACAAACACTTTTTTTCAGGAACGTAGACACCCAATCTATTTCTGTCCAGATATGTAGCGCACCCCGTAAATATATCGGCACGCTTCCATCGACAAATGGCAACAAATACCGAGAGGGCATTTTCTTTCTATCAGCATGAAAAATAACGAGGGGGAAATTTTTTCAAATCAAATTGAAAAATAATGAGAGGGCAATTGTATTTCACACCGTGAAAAATAACGAGAGGGCACCTCTTTCATTAATCGAAGTTAAAATTTCCCCATGTAGCAAAATCGAGGAACTTGGTTCGTTTTTCAACACACAACCAAGAGAAGACGGAATAGCTCACTCGTCGTTCCTAGCGGATCGCTCCGCGCCGCTCCTGTAGCGCGTCAGCTCCCTGATGAAGTCCAGGTCCGACTCCATCGCGTCCTCGTTTCCACCGCCCGCTACCACCGGGCTACCGCCGCCGCCCGACTTAACCTTGAAGCTACTCCCCCTTCCTCTGCTGCTGTTGTTGCTGTTGTTGCTGCTGCTGCTGCAGCTGCAGCTGTCTGGAGGAGTAAATCTTTGGTGGGGGCGTCGGCAGGTCGTCCGCGCCCAGACTTGACGCCACCCCGCCCGCCCCCTTGCCCTTGGTAGGACTAGCGGCGGCGGCGGCGGCGGCGGCGGCGGCGGCGGCGGCACGGGCGGCGGGAGAGGTTGTCGCGGTGGTGGTTGCGGGAGACAACAACAAAGACGAGGACGACGGCGGCGAGGACATCACCCTCGGTGGAGAAACCGGGCTCGAAGCAGCGGCAGCAGGCGGCGAAGACGTTGGCGACGGGACAACCCTTTGAGACGAAGACATCGCCTCTCCGGGGCGGAAACCCCTCGGCGGGGTAGGAGGAGGCGGCGGCGGGGACGACGAACAAGAAACTCCCGCTGTACTTGTAGAAGCCTCGTGCGAAAAGGAGAACGCCGACGCCGTCACCGTCGTCGTTGTCGTTGTCGGGTCAACGCCGCCGTCTTCGACGGCC